CTGGGGTTATAAATAGGCCTGTTAGTAACCCCAGGGGTGATCCCTCGATTCTGTAACCCTTTTCTGAATATTGAAAGGAACTCGCCGCTCTGCTCCCGAGGACGTAGGCATCTTTGCCGAACCTCGTTAAATCTTTGTGTTCTTCTGGATTTGTGTCGATTACTGTTTTTTTCTTCGCCCTTATTTTCTTAACAGATCAGCAGACCATCTTCTTGTCCGCCTCGTTGCTTAGTTGGTTTTAACTTAGTTGACTTTGTTTGCATGACTTTGCTCGTTCGGTAAGTTTTGTGTCACAATCTCCTAGCAGTAGGATTGCCTTCGTCGTACTCTTCTCATGATCCGTTAAATCTATTTAAATCATTACATGCACCTTTTTGATATATAATATCCAACATCCATAAGTTAATATTTAAATTTATAATACTTTGATGTTAAAGTTTATGGATGAAAATGTACATTTCACTCTTAAAAATTTAATAATAATAAACAAAAGGTCAACTTGATTTCTCTCTCTCTCTCTCTCTCTATATATATATATATATTGTGTGCAGTTCTTAAGAATATTATTTGTAGATATTTTTTTTATAAAATAATATTATTTTCTATTTACCTCATGTTATCTTCCATTATCCATGTAATATGATAAGTAATGCAGATTCCATCTCCCTTCATGTCTTGTCGAAATTGACGAATAAATTGACACTTGTCAGCTGTTTCGAAGTCTGGAAATAAAAAAAAAATATATATAATGTAACAATTATTCTGATCTCTTATCACAGTTCAAGTAGCTCCATAAACTGACACTATACCTCATGATTCTTATGAATTTGCAAATCTAACCATTAAATTATTATTTTTAATATTTTTAACCCTCAATTTTGTTTTCACTTTAAAAGTATCATTAAACTTTTAAAAATAAAATACATCTTTTGATGCATATATCAAAATTTTCTTTCTTCCTATAATAATAAAATTGCTCATTAACTTACTGCCCGGGGCGTCGTGGACCGGCCCGACCGGCAGCCCGGTCTGATTGTGTGGAAAAAAAAAACGGTGGACTTATTTGTATCTGTATCGGCCCGAAGAAACAAGGAAAATTGAATCGTGGGACGAACCTAGCCACATATAGGGGAAGAAAGGACGTGTGGGGCCCCACTCACTTGCTCTCTCCCTCGACCAACGTGAATCTGGAGAGAACTGTAGCCTGTTTGGAGCATAAGAATCCGTGGTTGATTTGTTTGTTTCTTAGAATGAATAAGGTGGCTGACCGCTTTAGGACAAAAATTTCAATTAGCAGAAATTTCTGAGAATAATTGTAAATATTTATTTATTATTTTTTTTTAAGTTATGCATATATATATATATATATATTACTCTTTAAATTCATATTATCAAAAAAATTTATATTACATAAAAAAAATATTATTATTTTAATTTTGATAAGTGAGGAAAATGTGAATTAAAATTTAGTTGTTAGATATGTAAATATATAAGAATTGAGTGTTATATATGTAAATCTTTCTTTTTAATTAAGTTTTCTGTAATTTTAGAAATAAAGTTGTATTTTTTAAATATTTTCGCTTAACTAAGGAAAGAGAAACAAAAAGAAGGAATCAATATTAAAAGTGATCTCATTCTTTTCTATCTACTTATAGAAAGCTTAGTACAATCATGTTTATATATTTTTGCTCATGCCTGGAGAGTATTTTATGTTAGAGTGTTATGATATTTTACGAGTGAGAGTTAGTCATTCGGTTATTTCTGGGCTCAGTCGATTGGATTTGGTCGGTCGGGCTTTGATTGACTGA